CACAGTGTGCAGCAGCAGAGTGCAGGGAGCTGCCATAATCCATCTCACCCTATCAGCCCGGAGCTGACGTAAACTCAGGACTATCCCGGTGCTGTCAAGGATGCTAATTCAAGAGTCACGAGATCCAGCTCCCACGGGACAGCCCTGTGCTTCAGCTCCTGTGTGCTAAGTTAAAAGTAACAGCATTTGCCTCCTTCAGCTTTCCAGCCACAGGGGAGCTGAAATACTCAGACCCAGCCATCTTTCAAATGGCAGAGAACTGAGACAGTCTTCCACTGCTGGGGCTCTGTTGGCTGGGTCAGTACCAGTTGAGAAGCTGGCCGTTACTTGGCAAAGTATGATCTAAAGCATATGGCTCAGCAAGGAGATGGCGATGGAAATCTTTATAGGAAACATTTTGCAAAATGTAAACAACAGATTTTCTACACAGAGATGAAGATGGAGATTAATGCTTGAATTATCCTGGATAATTAGTGTAGCAGGTAATTATTTAAAATCTGGCACATCTGTGAATACATCACTTTGACTGAATTAGAAAATCCTTGCAACTGCTACAGTGATCCCACAGGGAAATCTTTATGGGAGATTAATTCTCACTTCAAATGACAGAGATTTGCAAGAGGATTATGTGGCCAGTATGACACATTCACATTGTGTTAGTAAGTGATGCAGTTTTTTTTTCTCACAGAGAAGCTGAGTGCTGGCTTCTTTGAGTTTGCGTGTTCTTCAAGCTTGAGGGCTCGGCCCTCTTAAGAAGTAGAGTGTTTTATAGCTGAAATGATAAGCAGTGCTTGAAAGAAAACGGTGATAAGAACAAGGGCAAGAGCAACAGAAGCTCAAAGAGAGGGCAGTAAAATCCAAACCTGAATTTAAATTCCTAAAACAACAAGGTCGCACTTACAAAGCTAGTGGATCTGTTTCTTTAGCTTATTCTGTATGTCACCAAAAAGTTGTCATCTAAGAACACTGCATGAGACAGCACAGCTCTGTGAGGATCCTGTCCTCGCTGTGCGGTGGAGCGCTGCAGGGGACATCTTGCACTGCTGAGCTCCCCTTGGAGCACCTGCGCTTCTCCTCTCCTCTCTCTTAGGAAACCCACTTCTGCTGAAGCCTCCCAGGGTGACGTCTGTGCTGGCTGTCGCCGCGAGTGGGCTCCGACATGCCGTCTCCTGTGATGCATCTCTGTAAACCCATGGCTGGGGGAGCATCACTGCAGGTGGCACTGAACCTTCTGGCAGGAGGTCTGGGCTTGTCCATCACTGTGTAGCTTTGTGGGGTGCGTGGTGGCCAGGCTGAGCAAGGGAAGGGCCCTCGGAGTGGACTCTGACTGTGTTGGTATTCAGGAGCTCACTTGGTGTGTTCACCTACGTCCAGTCTTTGCAACATCTTTGACACAAAGCAGGCGCAGACTCAGGCAGCTCTCAAAAATGTAAATCTTGCCCAGTGGCCTGCAGTCACCAGGGAGATGCACCAAAAACCTGGAGCAGGTCTGGTGGTCCACTGGGCCACGTTCACAGCCAGTACGATGACTGATGTACTGCCTGCAACTCGTGAGTGCTTCAGATTTGAATTGGGTATCAGATGGTTGCTGAAGGATGGCACTCTTGGTACTCAACACAGGGAGGAGAGTTAGCAAAGCTGTAGTTTTGTGTGCAGATTTCGCTGCTTACAGCACTAAAGAGAGCTCTCACCAAGAAAATGGTGGTTTCCTGGCACGCAAAGACATTCTCAGTAAAATTGAAATGTCTCCTTGCTATATATTTCCAACACAAAACTGCTGCCAGGAGCTCTCATCTGATTTGCTCAGGTTCTCAAAACATCAAGGTGAATAATTGAGACAGGCTGAGTTTGTAAACCCTGGGGAGTTCACGGCAGCAGAAAAGAGAAAGAAAAGATACTTTAAGCTTTGTACAGAGGGTCTCTCTTTTAAGAGAGGTTAGATTGACTGAGGTTGCACAGGAGGAAATACAGGTGGGGCTGAAGCCAGCGTCCACCAGCCTTACCCACCGACACATTTAGATCCACGGGGATTTGTACAGACCCACCACAAAACTTCCCCAGTGAGAAACCCCCGCTAAGTTTCACAGTGCTGCCCTGCACCTGCGTGCAGTCCCTGCTCAAGCCCATGTGGTCCCCTTGTGGCATTTTAAAATGAAAGAACAGTAACAAAATACTCTGTGCAGAAAAACTTTTTAAGACCGTTTCTTCCTTCTTTCCTTTCCCAAAAAATAATTTGTGATCCCCAAGCTATAGATTTGCCTACAACTCCTCTACAAACAGCATCCAACACCCACTGCTAAACCACCTCTGCCCAGGACGTGCCCTTTTTATAATGTGCTGAAAGAAACTGCCCCTGCCCCCCCCCAGCCACTGACACTGGACCTTTGGTGGGCCTCTGTAGAAGGGTGGATTTATAACCTTCTCCAAACTACCCTCTCCCTTCTGACCCCTCAACAGGACATTTACATCTGCTTCCTTATTCACAAAGAACTAAAAATATACACCTTTCGATCCAAAATTGTGCTCTCCTGCAGCTCCTGCCCTGCCCTAAACTCTCCAGCTGCCCCAGATAGTGCTGTCAGTGTTGCCAGGTGTCTGTAGTTTTTGCAAACCCGGAGAAGGGCTTACTCACAGCAGGGCTGAAGAACTCCGTGCTGGTCTCATGCAGCTGTTCTCCTACAAAACGCTTTAGATGCTTGAACCAGCTCCTCTGGTCTGCAGCCTTTCAAAAGGTGCAGCCACCAGTGGGGTTTCCCTGGTAGCGAGCACGTCTGGGGGAGCATGGCGAGCTGCAGCTCAGCCCCTTCTCTGCCAAGAGAGGTTTGATCTCCTGCCTTCTCCATGGCTCAGCCTTCGCCCTCCCCAGCGGCCCCGTGGCTCAGCGGCGTGCAGTGCCGGTCGCTCGTTGTCCTTCTTCGGAAGACTGTTGCAGCTGAAGTTGCCCAGACTGGGAAATGTTCAGGTAGAAAGATGGGCATGAGGGAGCCTTTAGGACAGCGCAGGGAGCAGCCAGCCCTGCTGGAGGGAGAGGCTGGGCCAGCTCTGCCTTTAACTCTGAGCAGTTATTGGGCAGGGGTTGTCTTGTGGGCTGGTTGAGGAGCTCGGAGCACTAATCCGGAGTCTGGGAAGGAGGAACAGCAGCTGCAGGGCACTGCCTTGTCCTGCTCTCCTCTAGCTCTGCTGAGCTTGCTGCAGCCTGCAGGTAGAGACACAGGAAGAAAAAATGGGCAGGACTGGCAGGGGGGGCAATTATTTCTCCTGCTGCAAACTGCATTTTGTACCACCCAAACTTCATTTCTATAAGCATCAGCTTCTAATGCTTCATGGTGATGCTGCAATTTCCCTAAACAGGGGTCTTGTAATGTATAAGGCAAACAGGGGCATGGCACGCTGCTTCTCTGAGTCTACCTACGGCTTAAGAACAGCCCTTTCGGTAAGCTGGCAGGGGATAGTAGAGTTCTGCGCTGTTTCAGACCATCTGCAGAGACTAATGGGCTCCTGGGCTGCTGAGGCTGTCGTCTGAAATCGAGAGCTGCACATAATTTGAATACACTACTAAGATGGAGTTCAGCTGCACCTCACTGTCAAAATGTGAGCATATTTTACCCATGTCAGAGCACTGGAGCATAGCCAGAAAGCCAGTGTAGTAATTTTTTGGGCATGATGTTCAGCCATATTTTATTAAACTCCCTGTCCTACACTTCACTTTACCGCTTGTTTCTGAGAGCTGCTGCCCTGCAGCCCAGCATCCCTCGCTCCAGAGGACTGCTTGTTCCAACCTGGCCGAAATCTCCTCAGAAACTTAAAATCCCGCATTGTCCTTTTCTCCTGCCTTGCGCTGTTCTTAGCCTAGATCATCGCGGCTTTGATTTAATCTCAAGTCAGATGCTGTTAACGTAAGTGCTGAACAGCTAAAATGTCATAGCCATCAGCTTAGCACTGTACTCTGCACCGATAACAATACACAAGTTCACCATTTAAATTTGGTGTACTGTTGTAAGCTTGGCTTGAAGGCTTCGAAATATTTCCTTCCTTTTCTGTCTAATGTCAGAATTTCTGCAGAACATACAAAGCAGTGGATTTTTTTACTTTAAAACTAGCACGAGACCCATTCTGAAGAGCCGCAGTATCTCTCTGGATGCAGGCATTAGGGTGGGTGTCTCTGCCCTGACGTCGTTGGCAGTGTGCGGATTGTCACTGGGCAGAACAGCCCATTGACTCCAGGGACGAGGGTACAAACAGCTTGGTGGGGGGGTCACCATTCTGCAGTCCGTGAGGTCGGTGTCTTGCATAGGCTCAGTGTTCCTTTCCTGGTGAGTGTATGGATCGGGTGCATACCTGTGCAGCTGTAAAATGATCCTGTTAACTTTCCATCGTTACTTTGTTGGGATGAAAAACACTAGAGGACAGCAAGCTAGCATGGTGATAATATAAATGAAAAGAAAACCCCAGCCAAACAGTAAAATGTCTCGTGGTTTCTGTAAGGATAATGCAGAGACAGGATTTAAAATACGGCACACATAAAATGTATCACTTCCTTACAAGAGCTGAGCAAATGGATGCTATAGAAAAAAATACAAAAAAAAGAAAAGAAAGATCTTTTTCCAGGGAAGAATGTGAGAATTCATGGGATTTGGATATGAGAAACAACGGTTTGTGATAAAGGGCTAGCAAAAAGCAAAGTAAGAAATGTGTTTTCTTGCTTCTTGTATTGGTGAACTAATAAGCACAACCTCTAAAGCCGGGCTTTAGCATGTGAAATTCTTTTTGCTGAAAACGGCTGTCGTCTCATTTCTCAGTGGTTGGTATTTTTACACTCCAGCTACATTTCACGCTGATTTTTTTTAAGTACACCCCCAGCGAGGGAAATGGAAGAAGCGCGACCGCTTTGCCTGCAGCTGGAGAAATCCTTAACTGCTCACGTCCCCTCCTCAGCCGTGGGCATTTGCTCCAGCAAAGCCTGCCTGAAACTCCTGATGGTCTCTTCCCTCCTCTCGTAGGACCATGCGGATATTGAGTGGAAGTTTGCACGGACGAAGCTCTGGATGAGTTACTTCGATGAAGGTGCCACTCTGCCCCCTCCTTTCAACATCGTCCCGAGTCCCAAGTCATTCTGGTACCTTTGCAAGTGGATTCACAATCAGCTGTGCCCAGGCACCGACTCTGACGATGAACAGAAGAGGCATGAAAACCTCAAAACATTCACAGTAAGGAGCTGCATGGTTTTAGGCTTCATTTTTCGAGAGTGCTTGTGCGTGTTCAGGATCGCGAGGGCCATTGCTCTGCTGGTGCCGTAGAAGGTCTCTGGATGATAACTTGCTGAGAGCCATCGAGAGCTCTAGAGACAGGACTAAGCAGGTAACATATCTGTGCCTTTCTCTTCCCAGGAACGGCATGCTGACAACCTGATTCAGAATCAACATTACCAGGTAAGCTCTTCGGCACAGGCAGTTTTGACTCGCTGTTTCTTCTTCCTGCTCATTTTCTAATACCTCCATTCTTGCTTGCTTCTAGAATATATTTTGATAAGTGTAGGTCCTCTAGGAGGATTTTGCTTATCCTGGATTAAAACATTTCCTCATTAGAGGTGGGATGGTTCAGTAAGTCACTCCTAGCCTTTAACCCCTTCTGAAGTAGTGGAAAACTTGCTGGGTGGCAGCCTGGCTGAAGTCAAAGGTGACATCCCTGTTGCCACCAGAGGGACCAGGCTGTCATGCCACTCCGATTAAAACTGTTTCTGCAGCATTTTTACACACTCTTGAATTGTTTCTCTCCTCCTCTTTTTTTGTAAAGCATCCCTAACTCAAACAGTGGTTGGGATTTTCCTTTGGTTTGGACAGCTCAGGCAGGAGGAATGGTTCCTTTGTTGAATTTTGCTGGGTTTGTTTACTCTCAGTCTGCCTGTCATCAAGTACTCATCAAAGTCAACCTACGAAAGGATGAAACTGTATTAGAACCACCAGCTTCAGTACTTGAGTTCAGTGTGATGTATTGTGCTGGCATGCTGGAAGGAGAAAAAATTCTCCAGAAGGTTAGGTGGTACATTAGGCTATGCTGTCAAAAGCCATTAGTGATTTGTCTTACTTAAGACATCTCCTGCTTTTTGAAGAGTACTTCTGTCTGAAATTGATGTTTAACATAATTAGACACCTTTGTCAACAGATATTTGGTACTTTCTGACTTCACAGCACAGCTTACAGGTACCAACAGGGCAATCTCTTAAAAAAACCTCCCAGTAAAACCTTGGCATGGAGACCATCTTCATGCCTGGTGTTGCTCAGACTTGTTACCCCTATTTATGAAATGGGGGAAATGAAGGGAAGCTTTGGCATAGACTCTTCTGTATATCAAGATCAAACTCTGTGTACGTTGGCTGGCACAGATAAATGTACAAGCTCCAAGTACCAGTTTGCTTATAAATATATTATTTATAAATATTATTTTCTGTAAAGCCAGCAAGGAGGTACACGAACACAGAGCAAACTGGATCTCATCCTTGGTACTGTAACAAACAGCCTGGGTAACCCAGAGCAGCGAGAGCCCTTGCAGAAGTCACGGCGGGTGTGATTCCGTCCTTCCAGCACTGTCCACGGACACCGCAGCAGCCTTCAAGGAGTTTCCACCCTGCCGCTGGGGAACTCGCAGGCAGCTGGCAGACGTGGTTTAATGTCAATGGGCATTGCCCCGCAGGGGCCTGCCTGGTCTTCAGGTTATTTGTTGCCAATGTACCCTCCCTGGCTTTCAAATGCTTGATCACCAGCCTTCAAACGGCAAGCTCAGCCTGTCAGGATGCGCAGTGCATACACATGAGATGATTGGTAATCTTACCAGCTGTCAGCAGCTGAGATTACGTGGCTTAAGGACATTTAGTAACATCCAGAAGTTTTTCTCAACGGCTTTACATATACAAAAAGTACAAAATACCTGGTCCCTGTCGTTACCACCCGAGCGTTCAAGGTGGAAGGTGTATAACCCTTTCCACGGGTTTGTTCTGTTTAAAAGAAGTGTTCAGTCTCTAACAGGAAGTGATTTTCTTTTTGGACAGCAGAGTCAGGACAGCCGCTGTCGGTAAGAGCTCAGTGAGATGCAGTCAGGGCAGAGTTTGGTCGGAGCCGGCGGCTGAGTCACTCGTGTTGTTTCCTATTCCAGGAAGTGATAAGAAATCTTGTGAAGAGATACGTTGCAGCAATGATCAGAACTTCCAAAACCAACGAAGGCTTAACTGAAGAAAATTTCAAGGTGATTTATTATTCCTTACTAATAATAATATTAATTCAAGTAGCCACTTGCAGAGTTGACGCTAACTTGTCAAGATGATGCGTAAGCTGCTGTGGAAATAGGACTGTTGCTGGAGCTGGGCCTATATATGATGTGCATGTGGGGGTTTTTTGAGCAGAGAATATTGTTGTCTTGAGTGTCTTCTCATAGGATCATCTCCCAGATTTTACAATAAAATATGTTACGTAGACAAAAGCGTTGGGAAATGGTAGGAATGAAGGATCTGATTTGAGTCAACATCACATTCCTAATCCTAACCCAGACAGAGCCAAAGAATGAGTCTGGGTTAATGGATATGAAGAACTTTACCAACAGAGCTAAAGTTGGGCCTGTCACCTACACAGGATTCCCTCTACATTTCTAAGTTTCAGCAGCGTTTCCCCTGTTCTGTAACTCCCTTATTTGACTTTTTTGGGGAGTACAGATGGCATTAGTTGAGAGGGCCAGTCCCACAGCCTTTGGAGAGAAAGATCTTGTGAGATGCTCAGGATTCCCAATACATTTTTTTATGTCGTGTCGCTGCATAATGAAGATGCATGTGGTACTCTTGTAGTGTGAGTTGGGATCAGCCATTTGTGTAACTCCGAACAGCTCTCCCAAGGGAACGTGATCATTCTTTCATGCTGCAGATAAAGCTGCGGAGTGTTAACTCATTTCTCCTCTCGCCCTAGGAATTAAAACAGGACATCTCAAGTTTTCGCTATGAAGTTCTTGACCTCTTAGGAAACAGGAAGCCCCAGAGGAGAAGTTATTCTACCAGCAGCACAGAGGTGTCCCAAAAGGATGAAACAAATGAGGATGGTGCTGGAGAAAAATCCAAAGCCAAGAGCGTGTCTTTCACTGTAGCCAACAAAAAAAAGGACTTCAATGTATCTGCTCTAATTAAAACTATGTCTGGGATCAATATGGTGGAAGAGAAGCCAAAAAGCAACGGGATCAGTAAGCGCTCCTTTGTCCGAAATGGAAACAGAGTTCAGAGACTTTCCAGCTCCAAGAAGGAGTCCTTTAAGAGACTGGGCCTGCTTTTCTCCAAGATGAATGGACACGTACCTGAACCACATTCAGAACCCATGTACACTATTTCAGATGGAATTATTCAGCCACACTACATGTGGAAAGACATTAAATATTCTCAGATTGATAAAGAGAAAGAAGAGAATTGTTCCAAAAGTGAAATTAACCTCAATGAGGTGGACTACAGCGGGAACACAAGACTTACAGGACAGAGCAAGGAGTGCCCTGTGGTTTGTACCAGCTCCCTTCACTGTGCTTCCAGTATTTGTTCCTCTAATTCCAAACTTATAGACTCGTCAGAGGATGTGTTTGACTCGTGGGGAGAGGCTTGTGACTTGTTTATAAACCAGTGGAAAGAGGGGCAGGAGGATCACGTTACAACTCGGCTATAAGTAAAGCTATCTTAACACTCGCTGGAAAACTTAGCCAATTATTTGTAGTTGTTCGCTCTCATCCGATTCAGCGTTACTATTTCCTTTCTGTCCACAGGTGGAAAAAAAAAAAGTGTAAACCCACTTCTGTTAGCCTATTTTATAGCCATCCGCACCTTTTTTAATTTACTTTTTTTACACTCACAAACACTAAACGAAAGGTTTCCCCGTTTATAAGGTCACTATAAACCGCAGGAATCCCGTTGGATGCAGTCATGGTCTCCAGACCCCGCAGACTTCAGGCACGCTGGTGGTGAGTGAGGGGTTTCTCCAGTGCTCTCACCATCCTCCCACCGCCACCGGGATATCGCTGCTGCTGTCCAACGCAACCGGCTCCGCGCCCCGCTCGGTTTTCCTCGTCCACACAGCCAGCTGGTGAGCAGTGGCTTAGCAGGAGGCTGAGCATCACCTTTAATATTTTTTTAGAAAGGGTTTCAACTTGTAACTGGCTTTTTGTTTTCTTTGAGCAATACGACCTCTGATTCTTTCGGCTGTGCGTGTTTTTTCAGATTGTTTATTATATTAATATTGTAAATTGTTACTGAATAAGAGCCCCCTTTGACCATCCAGCTAGAACATGTTATGATTTGCTTATTTACCTAATTCCCATCAGAAATTCCCCTGGAGGGAGCAGAACGACCTTCCCGTTAGGCTGACAGTGGAAGCCAGCACCGGGTCTTGCTCCCAACTTCTGCGTAGATGAGCTGACCCCGAACCAGCCGTGGCTGACTGCAGACCTCAGGGTGGTTCTTGTCTTTCTAACGGGCTGAACCCCTCGAGCTGTATCTGGTTTTTGAAATCCCTGATCTTACATCCACTGTCGCATTTGCTTTTTGCTGCATATCCGATGGCTGTCAGGCTTTAGGGAGAAAACCGTCCTCCTGGCACAGGGGAAGTGCTAAGAGAGATCGCCTTCCCTGGGCCCGTGAGCTGTGTTTCTGAAAAGCAGCCTAAGCAGTAGCAGCTCAGACTGCATCTGGCAGCCTGGAAAGTCGCTGCAGTTCCTCTCCTAAGGCACAGCAAAAAGGAGTGCGGCAGTACATGTCATCTTTTATTTCCCCAGTTGTGGTAGCGTCTGGACAGGGCCTAGCACTGTCCCTGCTTTTGTCCGAAGGAGCATCAGAGAGGGGCGAAGACAACCCCATCAAGGGCAAAATGGTTGAATTTTTTTTAACAGTGACTTTTTATTTTTAACAATGTGATACTTGAACTTCCTTCTGCAGTGTTGCTAGGAAACACAGATGATTGGCACTCACTTATCCCCACTTCAGAGCTGTTATTAGTCAGCTGCTTTCTTGGAGGAAGCAGGTCCTGACCAGGAGCTCAGAAGCAGCTTTCCCCTATGACCGAGCTCCGTTTCTGCGCGCCCACAGTCACGCTCGAGGCTCTGTTCCCAGTAGAGCTTACACAAGCTAGAGCACACCCCAGGGCGGCTGCCAAAAATCACCTCTGCTGGGAGGTGGGTTGTGAAGTGCATTTGTAAAAGCAGAACGCTGGAAAATTGACGCCTACCACTGGCACTGGTCAGATTTTACCAGCAAGGGGCAGGAGCAGCTCTCAGGGCAGCACGGAGGGGAGGGAGGGGAGGGATTTCTCGTGACAGCAGTCCCCCACAAAAGAGATGCTGCCCAAGGTTTAAACCTGGCTCCTGCTACGGAAAGCCACCTTGTTGGGATTTCCCTTGGGGCACCTATGTGATGGAGCACAGCTACATCGGAGAGATCGACGGCGAGCGATGCAGCCAGCTGCTCCAGCTCACGGGATCTTTCACGACAGACCTCGGGGTGGAGACCGTGGCTCTAGGCCAGCTTTGGCATCAAGAAAAATCAGCAACTAGGCGCAGAGTCTCAGAAATGTTTCTGTGTTCCTTGCCTATAAATGACACCAGTCTTGCTACCAGCATGTGGTAAAAAGCCCAAAATATTTAAGCCTCTAGCTGTGTTAGTTAAGGCAGAATGAAAAGCATTTTTGTACCAACAGATTTCAGGCTTTCTTACTAATTGCAGGGTTAGAGTTGTCTTTGAAAACTGCATCTCCTCTTCCTTTACGAAATGCTGAGCAAGCTGACATTGGCGCGACACGAGGAGACTTGCAAAATCTGAGGGTCAGAAGCAGCTTGCTGATCGCTGGGGACGAAGTCCAGCACCCCCGGTTTTTAAGAAGCAAATCCACCGACAGGCAAGAGCCGCAGGCAGAACCAACCGAAAGAAATCCTCAAAGCAGCTCCCAGGAAAAGCCCTACGGTTCAACAACCCAAATGGAGCACGTTTCTGGAAAGATGAACATTAGCAAGAGGTGCTAGAGGGGGCCGAAGGAAAGGGTTTGAATCATTTTATGCCTCACCAAACCACACTGCAGTCTATGAACTCTGCTTGTCGTGGGGCCAGCAAATCTTGATGGCATTTCCTGTGTTATGAACAAGAATGAAAACACTTCAAGAACGGTTATGCAGATTACATCAGCTGGGTTGGAGGCTGGGACAGAAGCGGGGTTCGTACCTGCGGACAGCAGACAGGCTTTCAGGTTTTCCACGAGAGCAAGCACACCGCTGCTGGGGATGATCAGATCGTGTCATTCCAAGGCAGCACTGCACGAACAGGTACAAACAACACAATGAACCGCAATTCACTCCACAGTGGAGCCCCCCCAAAATGTAAAAACCACACCGGGCAGCACCAGTCCCTCCTCCTGTGCAAACCGCGCGAGTCGCCTTCCCCTGCTGTGTCCTGGGACCGCCCGTGAGCTCACCTGATGGATAGCGAAAGTCTCCCGATAACGTTACGTGAAAGGCGAGAGCCACGTCACACGGCTGCTTGGCTGCGGCTCCCCTGGGATTGGTTTCGTGACTCAGATACTTCCCAGCTCCCAGCTATGAGCTAGTTTGAGCCGACTTCGGAATTTAATGCAAATATTTGATTGGGCTGTGATTAATACATGTGTCCAGGAGTTGGCAAAGCTGTCAGATTGGTCCCCCAAAAGGCAAAATTCTGTTTGATTGCATCTATGCATCCCCTTTGGTAGCAATAGACTTTATAGCAGCTGGTGATTATTATTATTACTACTCTGAAACAGGAGCCTCAGGGGAGGGAAAGTGAAGTATCTCATGAAAAATACATCTGATAAGCAAAACCTGGGGGTTTTTTTGTAATTCACTTGCAGTCACAGTATTTGGGGTTTCACTGGCATTTTTTCCATTTTCAGTTGCTCAAAAAGCAAACACGTTTTAGTGAAAGGTATTCTTTCCTTCCAAGAAATCGGTGAACTACCCCAGTGCTGTCTGTGCAAGCAAGCAGGGTGGGAGCTGACGGGACGCTTGGAGCTTCTCTGGTGGGGATTTCAGCTTTTCCTTGGCTTGGGTTCAAGAGGTACAGCTGTGCTCCGGCCCCTCTTCCGTGGGCTTTGATAGCAATCCTGACACATCTGCGAGGAATCCGGAATCGGGAACACCAGAGATCTCGACCACTCACCCTTTCTTTAGGTTTCTCACCTCCCATCCCCGGTGTCACTTCCACCTGGCTTTTTAAAGCAGGACACCCACAAATGATCATCAATTCCAAAGTTAACAAACGCCACCCAGGGTTAAGCACATCAAACAGAGCTAGGAGGTGTTTATACTCAGGTCAGAGATTGAAGAAATTGTTTCAGAAACAAGAAATTAACTGACAGCTCTCTGCAGGTTACTTGGATAACTGCATTTGTATGTTGGTCATGTAGTGGCACATCTGTAAATACTCCACGATTTCTGTATGTGGTCCCTGCAGAGGAAGCGCGCACGGCGGCTGGAGCACGGGAGTAGAGAGCAGGGCTTCCCAGGGCTCATCCCAGCTCTGCCACCCACTCACCTGTGACCTTGGGCAAGTCACTTACCCTCTCGAATGCCTCAGTTTCCCCATCTGTAAAATAGGGATAATAATACTTACCTACCTCGCAGCGGGGTTAGTTCATTATTTATAAGCACTTTCAGATCTTCAAATTAAAGGCGCTATATACAGTAAGTAGTTAATATTCGTAGCAGTAGTACGTACTTTTATTTTCTTACAACTAATTCAGGGTAGGATTTAACTGTATGTCCGTTACGAAAGTTTTCCATGTAGAAAACTAGCATGGTTTCCCACAAAGGGAATTTAGGGGACTTCTGCAGCAGACAGAGAGCAGGAGCAGCACACCCTGGCAGCCTAAACTCCACACCCTTGCTTCTGTGATTTACATCTCACCCTTAACGCCACCTTACTGTATTTGTGTTTCATCCTTCTTCTGATGGTACATGTTTAGCAGAAACAGCCACTGTAAATATTAAAATATTTAAATAAATACAAACCCTTACCTTTTAAAGAGGTTAAAACTGGTTGATGCAACAAGCTCCTAAGGTTCCACGGGCAGCCCAGCAGTGACGCAGGCGCACACGGCGGGACACTGGAGTAGGGCTAGAGGAGAAGTTCACCCCACCACCCGCGTCCCTGCGAGGGGCTCTTCGCCCTGGTTCTCTCTACGTACACTTTGGTTTCTGTAAGTGCTTACTCAGGATAAAGGTCCTTGGCGGGAGTGACCGGTGCTCTGAGGTTTGACTTGCACAGCAGCCTGAGCTCCCTGCCAGGAGTGGGAGCAGTCGCAGGGACGCTGCACCGGGTATTTGGACAGTCACTGATGGGCTGAGCAAGGATCTGATTCCCTGCTGGGTTTTCTAGCGGTTAGAAAACTACAGGAGCACCTGCTGCTCTCACACCATTCAGCAAGTGTCCCACTTCCCTTGGGACTTCTCAGCTGTGCTCTGGTATTTCTACTTTCCTTTTCGAAAGGCCAGAATCTCCCCAAAAAGCCTATTTCAGTTAACCAGGAGGAGGTGCAGCTCCGGCTTAATTTCTGGCTGAGTTCTCCTTCAACCAGTTAACTTGTCCTGCAGCGGGCTAACGCCGTCCCACAGCCACATCCATGAGAAAGCTCTGTGCAGCCTCCGAGGCCGA